CAATAATGTTAGAAAACCAGCTTGAGTTTGTGCCAGTCTATGTGGGAAAAGGTTTCGACGAAGTAGTAATACTGGGTACAAACGCGCTAGAGTTGTTCAACCTCAGGCTCTCCAAAGGCGCTGATACACGCAAGGAACCTGAGGACGAAGGTCAAATAGCTGGAGGCGTCAGCACAGGCCTCAAAGCAAGGGTTAAAAGTAGGGTTTTCGTTCCATCGAAAGCAATGCGAACCCTGACTTTGACATGTGCACGAGCTGATCTTCGGAAGTCGCCATTTCTCTGTTCGTCTCATCCACTCATACCTGATGGTGTATGCAGTGCCACGGACAACGACGAAGTAAACATACCTGTCATCAACAACTCAAATCAAGGAATGGTATTCAAAAAAGGAGAACCAATAGGAGAATGGCAAGTCAAAGACTGGGTTAAACCGAAGTATGTCGAGCCTGAGAGGGACATGTTGGATCTGAACAGACCAAGAAAATGGTGTTCCACTGAGAGCCGGATAGATACATTAATGGAGATAATCGAACAACATAATACTTTACCATGTGAAGCAGTGAAGCTTCTGAAGGAATTTAACAATGTGTTTGCGGTCACTGATGCAGAGCTCACCCAAACGGACTTGGTGGTTCATGAAATTGACACAGGAGACCACAAGCCCATAAGACAGAAAACCAGGCCAGTACCCATAGCAGCGCGGAAGGAATTCAAAGGAGTCCTCAAAGACTTGGTGGAACGCGGCATCGTGGAAAGAAGCTCTTCTGACTGGGCGTCTCCAGTAGTTCTCGTAAAGAAGAAGGATGGCGCACTCAGAGTTTGTGTATCGCATCCTATCGTATCCTTAACTAAAAATAGATACCGTTCTACAGTGCCTTGCTGGGAAGAAAGTATTCTCCACCATGGATCTCGCTTCGGGATACTGGCAGATACGTCTCTCCGAAGACGCAAAGAGGAAAAGCGCATTCACTACAAGTGAAGGCCTGTTCCAATTTACGGTATTACCATTTGGGCTGTCGACTAGCCCAGCAGTTTTCCAGCGCTTGATGGATGTTGTCCTTAGGGGATTAGAGCTGGACAACGAAGTTTTCGTTTATGTCGATGATATCCTAGTAGCCACGGACTCGATCGAACGACATTACGTCGTACTGCGAAGGGTATTCGAAGGCACGCCGAATTTACTGCGAAGGGTATTCGAAGCACGCCGAGTTTACTGCGAAGGGTATTCGAAGCACTCCGAATTTGCGGCTGAAGCCCCAGAAGTGTGAATTTTTCAAAGACACGGTGATGTTCTTAGGGCATCGAATCGACAAACATGGAGTAAAGACAGATCCTGAGAAAATAAGGAAGATCACAGAATACCCACAACCGTCGAATGATCTGAGAACATTCTTAGGAATGGCCTCCTATTACAGGAAATTCATCGCAGGGTTTGCCAAATTGACAAAAGATCTATACAAGTTGCTAAGCCCCAAAACAGCTTGGGAATGGACACCTGAACTAAGTCAGCGGTTTGAAAGTGTAAAGGAGCACTGACAACCACACCTGTCCTTGCCCAACCTGATGTCGCAGCAGCAGAGAGCGGCAGCAAACCCTTTATAATCTATACAGACGCGTCAGGCGAGGGACTTGGAGCAGTGCTTTGCCAGGAGGGAGAAGACCGATTTCTCC